ACTTTTGGATTCAGAGAACTGGAAGCACTTCGTGGCCACAGTTTTACTGTGAACGTCCTTCTCTGTTTTCAGAATTTCTGGATGATAACAAATCTTTGTGTGTCCAGGAGAGATGTCAGTGAAAGGACACAATAACCTAAAGCTGTGTTTTTGTAAGTTCTTTCAAACAGATACTTGTAGCTATACCTTTTATTGTGCAGTTTTCAGGAACGGACGGTGAAAATATCGACACTAATATATAGGAAGAAGATCCGGACTGCTTCGTTATGTTACTTGATACTTTAGAAGGATACTGCCTCACGTCACTACCAGATGGTGGGATGAAATTCTTAAGTAGAGTACTTAGCAAAAGCTAACCATCCTTTTTAATTTATAGATGTCCCACAGGAAATTTGTAAGAACAACATTTAATTATAATGAAGTGTTGATTTTAACCAACAATAAAAATAATTTTTAAAAGAAATTCAGCTCCTTGCTTCATAAAAATATATATATATATATATAAATTGTGAAAAAAATATATATAATATTGTTAATTTTTTTAAAAAAAATCATTAAAAAAAAATCATTTAATGTTAAAAAATTATTAAATAAAAAATAAAAAAAAAAACTTTGTTAAAAATACTAATATTACTATTGAATTATCAAAATATTATTACTTATTTTATCGCAGTTTTCAGAATTCTGTGTACGTTGTGATGATTGAGTGATTATGATTGCAGGACAACATTGTCCGATTTTTGTCCGGTAATTTTCCTGTAATCTAATGATTTTTTTATTAGATGATCTATAGGGGGTAGCACAATTTTGAAAAGTGCGATAAATAGTACCTCGGGTGTACTATATATAAAATTTAAAATTTGATTTATATATACAGTTTGTCAAATTTGCATATAGTCAACCCTCGAATTTTCTCAACACGTGACATTTATCCAATGAATATGTCAAATATAACGAATCAACCAATTAACTGAATTCTTTATAATCTTATAATGAATTTGAAATAAAACCGGAAGTTTCATTGTATCGAGGGCTGGCTGTATCCACATACATATTCAATATATTGAATGGGGGTATTAACTTAGAAAGAATTTATGTACTTATGTACTCCCTATAAAAAATTTTATCCGTTATTTCTGTAAAAATGAGCCTTTCACGGATCCATTCACGGAAAATGTAAATATTTGATAAATTCCGTGATATAAGGCTATTAATTCCGGAAATATGAGCCTTTTACGGAAAAAAGACGGAATATAAAAAAACGGATAGACTTTTTTTACAGGGACTCGTATCCTCTTAACACTACCTAACATTTATAAAAACTAAATTTAGGTTTCGGTTTTAGCCGACATACCTAAATGAATTTCATTATATCCTATTTAAGTTTTAATCAAAGAAAAAAAACAAAGGCTAAAAAAAGTTTGAGTTCGGTATTGCAGGCGTAAGATAATCAATCACTTTGTTAAAATTTCTATGTTAAGTAATGCGTCCTATGATAAGATGATTGACGTAATTGATCAAAAGATAACTAATAACCATTTATTTAGTAACCGGCTTTTTTGTGGAGGTTAAAAAAAAAAAAATTCTTCAACCGTAATTTTTCGGTTTTTTTTTTACAGTTTTACAATTTTTTAATATTAAAAAAAAAAAATAAAAATAAAAATATTTTATAATTTTTAAAATCATGAATGAACTTAAATTGGTTTATAAAGCAATTGAAAGATCATATATAACAATGGATAAAAATATTTATAATGATATTATAAAACAACATAAATTTAGAAAACAAGAAATTATAAATGATAAATCACTTAATGTTAAACAAAAATCAGAAGCGATAAATAATTTAAATGGAAATTATAATTTTGATAAAATTCGTTATAAAATAGGTAAAAAAAATTTTTGTAAAGATTGTAAAAATGAATATTATGCTAACTCATATTGTGAACATTGTATAAGAATTTATTTAAAAGAAAATTTTTTAAATTGGACATCAAAAAATGATAAAATTGATAATTTAATAAGAGAATGTCAACTTCAATCACTTGCTCCAAATAGAATTATTGAATGGATCCCTTATAATCGTTTAAAAAAAGTTAAATATTTTACAAGAGGTGGATGTTCGGAAATTTATAAAGCAAATTGGATTGATGGTTATTATAATAAATGGGATTCTAAAGAAAAATGTTTAATAAGATCTGGAACTCATAAAGTAATACTTAAGGCATTAAAAAATGTTGAAAGTGCTAATAGAAGTTGGTTTGATGAGGTACGAATTTAATGATTGATTATTTATATTAGATTTTTTTATTTTTAAAATTAATAAATCTTTCTTTTAGGCGGTCTCACATTTAACTATAAGTAATAAATGGGCAGAGATTGTTTTATGTAATGGATTAACTCAAAATCCAGAAAATGGTGAATATATGATTGTAATGGAACGAATGGATGCAGATTTAAGAGGTTATTTAAGACAAAATAATAAAACTCTTACGTGGGAAAGAAGAATTAAAATCGCTTTTGACATAATCGAAGCACTTTACTTTATTCACGAAGAAAATGTTATACATAGAGATTTACATTCTGGAAATGTATTATATTTTCATGGTTATGATTCCTGGTATATTAGTGATCTTGGGTTTTGTGGTCCTGCTGATAATCCATTAAATAGTATATATGGAAATCTTCCATATATCGCTCCTGAAGTTATTCTTGGAAAGGAATACACACAAGCATCCGATATTTATAGTATTGGAATGATTATGTGGGAAATTTCTTCTGGTTACCCGCCATTTTATAATTGTAAACATAATTATAATATGGCAATGAAAATTGTTAATGGTTCAAGACCGACAATATTGGAAGGAACCCCATCGGAATATAAAGAATTGATGATACAATGTTGGAATGAAAAATCATCTGAAAGGCCAAAAATAAATACTCTTTTGGATAAGATTGAAAAAATGTGGAAAAATTGTTATAATAATATTGAATTAAATACTTTAAAAGTTAATTTGGAGCTTAATTATTATTCACCTCAAAATTCTCGATTATATTATTCAAATTCTAATTCAACTAGTAAAATTTATTATTCTAACGATTTACCATGCAAAGGTATAATATATATATACTGTACAACGTTTAATCTTTATTAATATAATTTAATTTAATTATTTTTTTTTTTTTACATAATAGATATAATGGATGAACAAGAAGGTACGTTAACGTATTTAATTTATCACGTTAATAATGTTAATAATTTATTTTATTTTATATTTTTCTATAGCAAATCATAGTAAACCTTATGATTTCAAGATTGAATCGCTCTCGCAAAATTCAGGATGTTTAATATAATGATTTATAAGCTTCACGTGCAGATACGTATATTATTATACAGTATAAGATTATTTAAACGCTTAAGACAGAGTTATAATTTTATATTTGTAAGTTGACTACCGTTAAATACCTATTGTATAGGAGGTTTGGCAAATTAGAAATGTTGCAAACACCTATTAACGCGAGCTACCTGAGTCACTATGCCCCGCATTACCGTAATAAGTATATAGTTTTTATTATAAAATGTTTTAACTGTTTATTTATATTTAATAATATCATTTACAATCTTTTACAATTCTTTTACATTATATACATATAAATATACTGTATATATATATTATTGTTTCATTTTAACCTGAAAAACTTCATAATCATCGATTTCAAATGTTCCCGCTCGTCTTCTAATTAATTTTTCATAACTATTATTATAACATTGTCCTTCATTGGTATTGTTTTTTAATAAACGTAAATCTGAATGATTCGCTCCAAAATCTATACCATAATCAAAAAATGCGTGCTCTTTATCAACAATTTTACTAAAAATGAATTTTGTCAATTTATTTTTATCTAGAGAAAAAAGAAAACTATCCTCACAAACATAATATTCTCTCGTCGATCCAAAATTTAAAGGATTGTAACCTCCAAGTATTTCATCAGTATTTTTAACACTAACAATAGTAATAGTAGGACCTTTCTCATTACAATTATCATGAAAGTTTTGAAGATCAAATCCATCCCTACTTCCACGTACAAGTAATTCAAAATCAAAAGTAACATCCCTACCATATTGTGCTGCTATCTTAATAAAATTTCCAATTAAAAGTGCATGATCAGAATTAATAATTCTAGAATCTATTTTCATTAAATTTATTCCAAATTTTGAATGAGATTCTTCATTTGAAGAATAATATTCAAGTATTTGTACGTAAAAATCTATATCGAAAATACTCTTAAATGGTTTGATCTTTTGAGAGAAATCTTTGGGACTGATTTCTTCAAATTTAATATGTGGAATAAATGGTTGAATTAAGTTCCCAAATGTTGTTATATTGTCTTTAGTCCATTTTGTCGTATCCGATGATAATTCTCGAGATTGTGCAATTGCCCATTCTATAAGTTTACCCCAAACATCAATCTGTTTAAAAGAAGTATTATTTTTCACCAGATTTAGTAAGACATCTTTTTCAATAGTGACAAAGTCACCCGTTTTGAAGATAATAGAAGGATCTTGTTTAATAGTTGTTTTATAAAATTGAGTTAATCTTGGAAATTGAGTGTGTTTCGTTATAACATGTTGAATAAGAACGAAATTTTGTCTTAATAATTCTTGATCTTTAAAAAGATGTGGTATAATAACACCGTTTAAACAATAAAGACGTAATTCATCGGCCGCGACTAAAAGTGAAATATTTGTTTTAACGTCATTCTTATAAACATCAATATTACCGCCATATATATACCTAATCAAATGAATTAAAATTAATAATGTAACATAACTAATGTCTAGTGGTGGTGAATAATTAATAGGACATTAATATAAAATTTATATTCATACCTTACAAGAATATCAAATACCTTTACGGAAATATTTGGTTTTTCATATTTAATAATATTATTTTCATATTTTAATTTCTTGTTATTTGATAATTCACTACGAAAAAAAGGTGATCGTATTTTTAATATTAAAGAATGTAACTTAAATTTTTTAATATCTGGTTTCTTTCCAACTAATATTTCAATATCATAAAATTCACTAGATTTAAACGCATCATAATATTCTTTAGATAATATTCCGTAAAATTTCATTTTTTATTTTTTTAAAAAAAAAAAAATTGGGGGAGAAAAAAAATAATAAATGATTTTTTTTTTTTT